AACTTTTAGTGAATTCATTGACATTCATGAAACCGCACAATATTTACGCTTCTGAAAAAAATATTAACATCATCCGCACGTATGTTGCCGTGAACATATAATTATTAAATCCTTTTATTAACTAATAATAACATAATCATCAATATTAAAACATTCATGTGGTAATGAAAATTTCAGAGTTTAAACAACAAGAGCTGCCATTCCGTCTGTACCTGTGTCTTTTTGATGTATTACCTCGTGTCTGTCCTTGTCTCTCTGCCCTCAGTTGTGAGTTTGATTTTTAAGAATATTTATGTTAGTAGTTTAATAAACACCGACTTATAGTTCACGTTTAATTTTAGCAAGAAGTTTCATAGACGAAGAGGTTTCGGAACAAAGTGTGTACGAGGAAGAGATGGACACAGGTGTGGAGTTATATCTGGCAGCCGACTTTGGAATACAAGATGAATCGTTTTATCAGGTTTACATGTTTTCACTGACCTTAGCGATGTCTATATAAAACATTATCACAGGAGAAAAAATATGTTTGAAAATAATGTTCACGCAGGTCGAGCCGCTGCAGTTGTCGATAAAAGAGGGAGAGAGTGCCTCATTAACAATACGGTCGATTATTCCACTTTAATTCTTTGAAGTTTACCAGTCAACGAGTGCGGGTGAGAATATTGTTGATATAATATTTTCCCGCGAGCAATACTAATCTTAGTAGGTACGTATAATGCGCAGCAGTAGTGTGTAGATACAACCAAAGAATGATTTGTAGAGATGTTATCATGTACCTAGAACTCTTTTTTTTACTAAAAGTTAACTTACGAGTTAAATGCAGGCTATAATAAACAATTACAGATACAACCTTGATGTTGTGTCTTGTTTCATTTGTATGTAGTGTCGCGTGGTACCGCCCTCCGCCACCCGTCCAGTGCGTGGCGCTGTGTGAAGCTGAACGACACTCCGACCTCAGAAACACTCAGTCCGAGATACGAGTGACATGGTGTGCCCTGGAACTGACCGCCGGTGATGTTATGAGGCGAGCATAAAATATCAAATATAACATAAATCTAGCTTGGAAATTATAATCATATAGCATACGAGTACTCCTATATACTAACATACAACAACAACACTGAATGATGTTTTTAATTTCCAATTACAGTTCGCAAAACGGTAAAACTTCAGAACATTGGAGAAGGGCCGTTAGAGATACGGCTAACACAGAAGCGCCTTGAATGTTGGGACTCACCAGACATATCTGTAAAGCTCACTGTATCGAGAGTGACAGAACAAAGACAGAGAGTATAACAGTGAAAATACAACTGAGAAGTTGTATTGAAGTAGGAATATGTAATGTTGAACTTTTCTCTCTAGTGACGTATCATTTCTTTAATCATATTTAACATTTCACAGATGGTCGTAGAGCTCAGTTTGAAAACCAATGAGGTGTGGCCTTCAAGAACCACTACTAAGACTGAGTTGTGCTTCTCCGATCACGAAGCAATTATGTTATTGGTATTAAAACATTTCAAGTATTAGCACAAATTGAGATATGATTTTCGAGGTATAGTATCGTAAGATTACTATGTAAATGTTTTAATATGGTTTTTAGGTATATGAAACGTTTTACACATGTCGAGATCAACTAGACAGACTACATACCCGTACTACATGCTATCCTCTCAGTTGGATGGAGGGCGCCGTCTGTTGTGGGGAGGTCGTGGTCTGTTCTCGAGGAGCAGCAGGTGAGTGGTGCAGGACGAGGGTCAGATGATGATAACTTACTGCCTTCCTGAAGACATACATTGTTATACCAGCATCAATGTTAAGAGAGAATAGTCAGAAGATCACATGTGTGTTTAATAAGAAACAGTCAAAACCTTTTTTTATATAATATTATACATATTAACTTTACTTTACACTCCATGTTCATTTACAAAATCTATTTAAAATAAACGTTCAACAAAATCAAGCCCGAGTTTAAATCCATTAAGTCAGTTTACGAGTATACGTTATATATGTAGGTCATGTACGAGTATACGTTTATGTAGGTCTAAAGGTACTCTCTTTATTGATACTCATTCTGATCACAAAATTTAATTTTCGTTAATAAAACACATTAGTTATGTAACGAAGTCAATACCAAAAGGACCTTTGATAAAAAATAGACAAGACAGCAGTGACAATGAGACGTGTATCATCCCCATGAGCGGTCAGAGTGTGTCGGATATCTGAGAGGTTGGTACGAAGCCGATCTAGATAAACTAATGACGCGACTTATATATTTAGCTCTCATATGATAGAAAGTTATCAGTTATTTAAATATATAATATAAATATGTTGAAGAACCTTGTCATATTTGATTTTTCAGAAGTGTGACGTCAACAATGCTGCCGTCACAATCACTGTTTACAACATTCAGCTGATCCATCTTACAATTTGATTTAACTATTAATACAGTCACAAACACTGTCACTACTTTATTTCAGACTTGCACTTGTAATTAGATAATCTTCCTCCTGATTTCTAGAATAAATAATTTTGTTAAACAAATCACTGACGCAATGACATTAGTGATTTGTTCATGTCACATCTACCCTCTAAAGTAAAATACTTATGAAAGAACTACCCCTTATTGCGCCGACAAATACATACGAATCTACATACTAACAAACAGAGTAGCACAATTAAGTACATCTGCAAAAAAAAATTAACTTGATTTATCTAGTTAGGTTAGAAAATACTAATAATTATGGTTATTTAATTAAAAGTAGAATAATAAACACTGTATAACAATTTTAATTAGTCCACCTTAGCAAGTTGTAGTCTACCTTTCTAAGAGATATATTGATCAGTAAATCATAAATATCAGGACGATTTGTCAGAACAAGGACCATCACAGTTGGTGGTGGTTCTCAGCGTCTATATACTGTTGAACTGAGCGTCTATATACTGTTGAACTACTGTTGTTCTCAGAGTGTTATTTTTTTTTTCAAATCACATATATCTGATCTTGTTTGAACCTATATAGTTATAATTGTTCGGACTTTTATGACATCACATACTCATATTATACGCAATAGAAGTAACACGGGTCTCACCTTCTGTTCATCTGTTAGTATGGAGGTTTGTGTGTAAAGTTATATGCTCAGAGATTTATAAATAAGTTACAGTTACATGAGCAGGATACATGAATACATATTGCCTTTCATCCTCGTGGTTGCTATCGTGAACAATATTTGTTGCTTTTTTTACTGAAGCAGATTTCAGTGAGTACTGTCATAAAACAGATAAACAGAGACGCTTGGTCTTTCACGACTCGTGTGTAAGTATGAGATGTAAAAAATAGTTACAATACAGATACAATAATAGTTCAGATTAACATAACAGTTTTTACATATGAAGATGTTTCGTGAATGAAACACTTTCTATTTATAAATATTTTCAATAGAGTCACATTTAACTAAATCATCTTAATACGTGTACAGTTATCTGTGTTGAGATATTTCGTTATTTTCATAATGAAACTGACTGAACTGAACATCGTTGTCTGAAATAAAGTTTTTCAATGACCCTTTTTAATTTGAAAGTTCAATATATACTGTCAGAGTATAATAACGACGTTATATTGCATCTGTAACATGTGTGATATAGATGGTCTTGTATGAGTATTTTTGAGTTCTTTTTATTAAATTATAATATTTATATTAAAAAAATATCTAAAAAACAAGCTTAGAAATGAATATGATAAGTATTTAATGTAATCTCAGTTTTTTTGTAAGTTCTTCTTTAATATGTACAAGTAAAACATTAAGAGCTGGTGAACATCAGAGAATGTTATTGTCATTGCGCTTCCTATATTTAGGAGCTGTTGGCTAATCAATTATAGTACGTAACATTTGGGGAAACTTAATTAAAAGCTTAATGAAATATATTATGTATAGATTATAATTAATTCGTGTTAATTTGTGAAGTACACGAAAATATATTCTCATGGTAACATTATAAGTTCCTACTTAGAAATCACAGCTGCATTATAAATAAGATAAAAATGCTACAGTCTTCTAATCTTGCTTCCTTTAGTGAATAAAAACAAACATGCCGCAAGCTATTACGTATGAAATAAAGAAATAAAATTCGTCCACAAGCCGAGTAGGTCAAGCGTAGTGACACGCACGATAGAGTCAATCAGACCTCAGATATCCAGTGTATCGTGATACAAATGTTTATAAGAAAACATCTTAGAAATGACTATTGTAATAATATCCACTAAGAAAATAATACAGTTTTAAAACGTTATTTCAGACAACGATGCTGAAAAGTATAAAAAGAGCACTTAACGTACTGAACTTTCAATCAGTTAAACCTTGATCGGACCTTAATATAATGATTATACCTTAGATTTACAAAAGATTTTAAAAACCGGCCTACATTAAAGTACTACACTATTGAATTTTATTTACTATCGTAAATGTAATCTTAATATTGACTAACTAAGACTATTTTTCACAAGATTTTGATCAACTGCCTATTTAACCTTTTAGAAATACGATACTACGGTTCTGAAAGGTTAGTCTTTAATCTGACAGAGGTTGTGGTAAGAGACACTCATAGGGGACATGTGGTATCAAGGGACGGTTTATAAATTGTTATTGGCATTTTATGAGTATCACTTAAAACATTCAGAGATATTTGGAGTCTTCTAAACTGTTAAAAGAGAGAAGGATCTTCATCAATCTGTGTATAACTAAAAAGTGATCTTTTAAGTTAATATTGATAACAAAATGAAATACTTCCTTTTATACGTATAAATAATATAACAAAATTATTTGTATAGTCTTTTTACTTACTATTTCTATTTTATATATTTCACTTAGATGGATTGAAATATCCAATGAAATATGTATGACTTTTAAAATTTCAATAAATGACATAACACAGTTGTAATTTAATAGTGATATTGTTTCCACACATGGCTTCATTTTAACTCGAGGAAGTAGATAGCAGATATGTTAATTAGGCCTCGGCCTCGAATTTTGCGGGCAGCGGAGCGGGAGCGGGAGCGGCAGGATCTTACGCATATAATTAAATGGACCGACCCTCGAATACAGCGGTGCCCGCTGCCCGCTATTTTGGAGAAATGTATGTGTTTTCGTGCCGCCGCTGCTGCCGCTCCGCTGCCCGCAAAATTCGAGGCCGAGGCCTAAGGCCTCAAATTTTGCGGGCAGCGGTGCGGCAGCGGGAGCGGCAGCGGGAGCGGCAGCGGGAGCGGCAGCGGGAGCGGCAGCGGGAGCGGCAGCGGGAGCGGCAGCGGGAACGGAAGCGGGAGCGGCAGCGGGAGCGGCTGCGGGGGCGGCATCGGGATCGGCAGCGGGAGCGGCAGCGGGGGCGGCAGCGGGGGCGGCAGCGGGAGCGGAAGCGGGAGCGGCAGCGGGAGCGGCAGCGGGAGCGGCAGCGGGAGCGGCAGCGGGAGCGGCAGCGGGAGCGGCAGCGGGAGCGGCAGCGGGAGCGGCAGCGGGAGCGGCAGCGGGAGCGGCAGCGGGAGCGGCAGCGGGAGCGGCAGCGGGAGCGGCAGCGGGAGCGGCAGCGGGAGCGGCAGCGGGAGCGGCAGCGGGGAGCGGCAGCGGGAGCGGCAGCGGTAGCGGCAGCGGGAGCGGCAGCGGGAGCGGCAGCGGTAGCGGCAGCGGGAGCGGCAGCGGTAGCGGCAGCGGGAGCGGCAGCGGGAGCGGCAGCGGGAGCGGCAGCGGGAGCGGCAGCGGGAGCGGCAGCGGGAGCGGCAGCGGGAGCGGCAGCGGGAGCGGCAGCGGGAGCGGCAGCGGGAGCGGCAGCGGGAGCGGCAGCGGGAGCGGCAGCGGGAGCGGCAGCGGGAGCGGCAGCGGGAGCGGCAGCGGGAGCGGCAGCGGGAGCGGCAGCGGGAGCGGCAGCGGGAGCGGCAGCGGGAGCGGCAGCGGGAGCGGCAGCGGGAGCGGCAGCGGGAGCGGCAGGATCTTACGCGTATAATCAAATGGACCGACCCTCGAATACAGCGGTGCCCGCTGCCCGCTAGTTTGGAGAACAGTATGCGTTTCCGTGCCGCCGCCGCCGCCGCTCCGCTGCCCGCAAAATTCGAGGCCGAGGCCTTACATTACTCAGTAAGTGTGTCTGTCTATTATAAATAAATATTAACTAAATTCAAGATTCATACTGCTGAATAAGAACTGCGATTATGAGATTGGATAAAATTTGATAGAAACCGAAGAGAAATCATTTAATATCTCCACATACATACATAGTATGGAACAAAATCGCTTTCTCTGTTTCTATATTCCCTTGTATGGTTAAATCTTTTAAACTACGCAAAGGAGTTTGATGTGGCTTTTTAAAAGATTGTGTATTTAAAGAGGAAGGTACATATATATAATTTAATATCACTACATAGTATAAAACAAAGTCGCTTTCATGTTCCAAAATCCCTATGTATGCTTAAATATGTAAAACTACACGAAATATTTTAATGCGATTTTTTTAACTAGATAGGGTAATTGAATAGGAAGGTTTATTTTATTTTATTTATTTATTTATTAATTTACAGCGTCAATCTTTATTCAAAAAGTAGTTAAATACACTGTTAATTCAATATAGATCTATATGGCTCTTTACAGTATATAATGTAGATTTTTTGCCCGTGCGAAACCGGAGCGGGTCGCTATGTTTATATACAATGTTCACAGTTTTTGTTTAGTGTATTAAATATAAGCATTAAACGCGTGCGAAGCCGGGGCGCCTTGCTAGAAGATAATAAAATATAGGTAAAGACAACTACATATATTAATTAAGAATGAATGTATGTATTAGCAAAGTACAAACAATTTAATTATAAATAACTTTTCGAATGCTTTATTTTAATTATTTCCAGCAATTAATTTTAATATTTTCATAATCTAAAAGCTACGGAATTGTAAGTGAAGCAAAAAATACCCAATTTGTCACTTATAATTCAAAGGGCATTATTTTGAAAAGAAAGTTGCTCATTCAATTAATGTTCTTATGTCTATGATGATATAGTTTATATTCCAATAAAACGATTCTTATCATCTATACTAATAAAGAGGATAGATTTGTTTCTTTGTTATGAATAGGCTCCGAAACTACTGAACCGATTTCAAAAGTTCTTTCACCTAGGGAAAGCTACATTATTCCCGAGTAATATAAGCTATATTATATTTAAATAAAAATTAGAGATCCTTACTAAAACTCTAATAATGTAACCCAAGGTGTAAAAAAATGATCTGAAAAATTCCTTACGTCGCGTGCGCTGCGAAAACTATTGATGATAGAACCAAATCATTTACTACGACTTTGCAGAACTCATCATCATCTACAAAAAGTGTCGCGACAGCATATGTCTAAATATTATAGTTATATCACAGTAAGCGGTTTTTTATTCTAAAAATTTAATTTATTATCCGCCGCTTGAAAAGGCTCTTTATTTGTAACTTGGTATTAATCCTTATCAAAATAAATTACTTTATATTCAAGACGGCTTCAGTACCTTTTTATAACTCTTTGAATTATTCAATTCGGACATTTCATTCGGAAGATATCACGAGTTTAAAAATGCAAGTATTAGAAAAAAGTCGCGTGGTTGCCGCTCACCACGCTCAGCTAGCCAGCATGATGTAGGCTCCATGTAAGCGTCACTGGGGTACGAGGGGGGAGTCAATCACAACTAATATTATAAATGCGAAAGTAACTCTGTCTGTCTGTCTGTTACGCTTTCCCGCTTAAACCTCTCAAACGATTTTGATGAAATTTGGCGCAGACAATTTTTAGACCCTGAGAAAAATATAGGCTACCTTTTATTACGAAAAAGGGGATGAAGAGGTTGAAATAGGGGTTGAAAGTTTGTACGGTATTTCTGAATTTTAAAAGAGAATACCATGAAACTTTATATTTAAGCACTTGATAGGATATATTTAAACATTTGTTCTAGCGTTTTTGAAATTTCAACCAGTGAAGGGGTGAAATAAGGGTTGACAGTTTGTATGGGATTTCTTAATTTTAGAAGATAAAACCATGAAACTTTATATTTAAGCACTTGATAGGATAATTTAAACATTTGATCTAGCGTTTTTGAAATTTCGACCAGTGAAGGGGTGAAATAAGGGTTGACAGTTTGTATGGGATTTCTTAATTTTAGAAGATAAAACCATGAAACTTTATATTTAAGCACTTGATAGGATAATTTAAACATTTGATCTAGCGTTTTTGAAATTTCGACCAGTGAAGGGGTGAATGAAATAAGGGTTGACAGTTTGTATGGGATTTCTTAATTTTAGAAGATAAAACCATGAAACTTTATATTTAAGCACTTGATAGGATAATTTAAACATTTGATCTAGCGTTTTTGAAATTTCGACCAGTGACGGGGTGAAATAAGGGTTGACAGTTTGTATGGGATTTCTTAATTTTAGAGGATAAAACCATGAAACTTTAAAATTATAGATCATTTAGTTTTGAAATAACTGAGATACGGAGTTATGAGACAGCACATACGCGATTTGCTCATAGTGCACCTGGGAAAGCCCCATACAAGGCTGTCTCAAAATCGTTTGACGTGCAAGTTGTTGTCATGGAGTAAAAGTAATAAATTAATTTAGTCTTATAAATAAGCTTTCTTTTCTATATTTTTAAAATTATTATTTTTTTGCAAACCATAATACATATTATTAAAAGGCATCAAAGTTGACTCATGTTCAATGGTGTTATTTTGGCCCAGTAGGTACGAGTACATTATACTACAATTCAACGCCACATTACTTGAAAATTTTACTAAGATTATAAATGCGAAAGTAACTCTGTCTGTCTGTCTGTTACGCTTTCACGCCTACACCACTGAACTGATTTTAATGAAATTTGGTACAAAAATAGAGTTGATCTTGAGAAAGAACATAGGATAGTTTTTATCCCAGACTTTTGAAAGGTTCTCTTGAAAACGCGATATATCCGAAATCCACGCGTGCGAAGCCGCGGGCGGAAAGCTAGTCTTTTATACAATAATTGAAACGTTTCTCTTGTCAGCGTCAGTGTGAAGGGGACGTGACCAGACTTATAAGAATTTGCAGGAGATGGACTACAGCTTAATACATAGATATAACTAAATTATATACTTGAGTGTATAAAATATTATTTTACTTATAAATTGATATGATGAAAACTTATTAACTTGAAAAATATGACAATTCACAGCAATAATGAGCAAAGCAACCATAAATACCTATTTCAAAAAAATTTATGATTACCAATGCATCCGACGTTTATGTGTGTAGCAAATATCATTGTACAAGGATGACCCACGCTACAATGTTATTGTTTCTGTCCTTTTGTACTTTGAATGCCAAAAAAGATGCAATGTACCTAGAGGTATATTTTTGACAGCGATTTTCAATATCCGTTTCTACTATTCAAACTATTTTTGTTGATTCATTTTATTGTTTTTACATGTCAGATAATATCTATTCTAAAAATCGGTTACTGTTTCATTATGTGTATCAAGTTGTCTGCATTACATACTTAGCAAAGTAAAATATGTTTACCAAAATATGAATAACATCTTTCTCGAACTGTTATAAAAATTTTCAATAATTTATATTTTAGCTAAGATCCATATAGAAAATTATAATCAGTCGCAATTTCTGTTTCAAACCAGAACAACTTCAAATAATGCAAATGTTTTCTCATAAACATGTTGTAACTGATATCCACATGAAAAACATAAATGTTGTTATATTTTACACAGATATTTGTTCGTTACTTTTTAAAACAGAATGTTGTTGAAAACTTTTTTATTATTCATATTTCAATAAAAGTTTTGCTCCAGTAAACAAAAAATAGCACGCGTTTTAATATAACTAATTCCAAAATGTGATTCTAAACGTAATTTTTATAATTTGATTTAAAAAAAAATTTTTCGTGATATTGTTCTATCCTATGATCCTAGTCAGATACGATTTTGGTTGACCATCACTAAGTAAACTTCATTGTACAATTACATACATAACAATTTCTACCATAAAAAAACAAATATTACATATCACACTGAACGGACTAACTTAGAATAAAATTTAAACACATACACGGTAAAAATAAAATAAACGATTAAAAGAAAAACGTAGAGCTAATTCGTATATTTTGACTAAAAGTGATCACTCACTATGATTCTAAAGTTATAAGACACTCACTTATTAATTTCTTAGGATATTGAGACTCATGATATAAAATGGTAACATTATCTCTATTCTTAATATGATAGTACATATTTAAAAATGATGGACTTTGTTAACAAAAGTGAAATGTTTGAATAAATTGTTTAAAAAATAATGTATTTTTGTGTTATATTAAATTCTTATATTAAAATGTTAGATATTGTTGCGGATTTTGATTGTATTTAACGAGGAGATATTAAAAGGCGTGGATTAGTTGCAATGATAATTTTATTGTGTTACATATTTTTATGACGGGGTAAGTAAAAAATTAAAATTACAATAAACAAAGCGCCTTACATTTAAATCGTTCCGTAACCTCCATATACTAAATTGCTTCACAATTTTAACAGGCGCTTGCGCCAACAGATATACTTACTATTATAATATGTAGTATTAATATAAACATATAATATATAAGAAGAAGACAGATCATTGTCTTTCGAGTTATCTGTACATAATTAAGAAATTAACTTCGTTGAGGTAAAAATTAACAGATATTTCTTGATTATAGGGCGGTACGAAGTCCACCGGGTCATAGGTATACGGTTTAAGATATCTCGGATAGTTTTTGAGAAAAGTTAAAAAATATTTATTTAAATTGAAATAATAATAATCAGTTATAATATTTTTGAAGCTTTTATTTTACTATAAATATAATATAACACACAGCATTTCTATTCTGCGTTAATTATTTAAAAAAAAAATCTATTCTATTAATAAAGAGTTGAACTAGAAATATA